AGCCAATCAAACGTAAAAGAACGTACATTTCAAGTTATCAATAGACCAATACCATATATGGAAATACATAATTTTAGACACAAATCGTCTCTATATTTTGGATTTCTTTGGCAAATATATATGCATTCTATTTTAATGCTTCTCTGTCATGTTATTTTCAAAGCATATATAGTAGCTCCCATATTAAACTCATCTACCTAATTGAACATAAAGCTGTCAGCATTAACATTAAAAGGTCCTGTAAGGTCATACCATTGTGTTAAAGAATCCTAGTCAGCCGAAATTTGATACCTTCTTAATCTTTAAATTGCTTCTAGCACAAGATAACTTTGAACATGCGTTTGGGCCAAAATAGCTTGGCATATGGTCTTCAAACTTAATATGGCTAAGACCACCGCTTTCAGGCTTTACTGCAAAAGAACTTCAGTTTTTACGAAATGCATGAAGAATATAGATGTATTTTCCGTAAACTATTGCACGTTGGCCCGTTGATTGGTATTTTGTTAGGGTTGATTGGTACACAAAAATATCGACTTTGCAGTCCGAGGCATTGAAAGTATTAGTCTATCGATATCAAACCTAAAATAGCATGATCAAAGGATACATATTGCAATATGATATACCTCGATGTCACCTCACAATTTATTTAGATGCAATCGAAACATCCTGATCACGATTTTCTCTGCGTAGGAGCATGGACCATTATCCGGGGAAAGTACCCTGCGCGCAGAGTCTAGTTACAAACTACAGACGAAGCTCTCTTTTAAAAGGTGAAGTCGACAGATGCAAAGGGTACGGGGAAAGAATAATAAGCTACACATCGATTTATATATCCATAAATGTTAGTGCATTTGGAGTAGAGCTTAGCTTTGTAAACCACTGTCAACTCCAAAATCAATATATTATCGCCCTGACTTTCTCTCAGTTTGTTTCGTCCCCTCATAATCAATAATAGTAAGCACCCATACCTGTTTCAGCCATATTATCACTCTCCTTCTATCACATTAGGCATAAGGCACTACTTTAACGACTTGCAGATCCACTTGTTTTTCTTAAATTTGTAATATGAATCGGTTGTTTTGAAATGATAATGTTATCATTAACCAGAAATAGTGAAAGCTGTGGCTGGTTAGAGAGCAGATGCATTTAGACGCGTGCTTCCATCTTTATTTCAAATAGGACTTTACGTATTCCATATTCAGACAAGAAGTCATCTATTGAACCCAGGCCTCATTTATTTATCATTTGTTACAAACGCAAGACAGTTCAATGTACACAGATTTTACTGTAGCCTTTGATGTCAGGGGCGTAGCCAGCTTTCAATGAGGAGGGGTGCGATCGCAAAACATTTTTAGTTTTCAGTCTGGGGGTGCGATTGTGGCATAAACAAGCCAAAAAATAAGATTAATCTTGAATTTTTTCCAAAAATTGATGCAACTTTCTTCAAAATTGAGCTAGAACGTTCAAATAAAAAGCATCCTAAAGCTCTTTTCTTCTGCTATCTCATGCTTATATTTTTCTTGGTTAGGGGGGGGGGGGGGCGTGCCGCGGATCGCACCCCCACCCCCCCCTGGCTACGCCTGTGGATGTTGTATTATTCTTACGACGAGAACTGATTAGTATGGGCTTCTTGAAAGCCCATGGTAGTAAGGTATGCGAGCCTACCTTTAAAAATGTTTTTCGTAGGTTTTGGAATCACTCCTTTCTGTGCCAAGGATGTTATGTACGTTTCAATCAAACTCCGAGAGATTTGTGGGTATTCCAAACCAAATCCTTGTACTGCTGTAGCAAAGTTGGTGTTGTCATATGTGCTCAACTCGGACAGATAAGATTCGTCGCTTTAAGGAAATAGCAAACATGAATGTGACAAGTTTTACCTGTATATCTATGCAAGTAAAAATAATATATAAGTTTATTTATTTAGTCAGTAATGTTTGAAATCTATATTCTCTTAAGTTCATTTTCTAGGTTGGTTAGATTCACCATTTTGGCATACACACAAATCACTTCCACTAACTTTTGTTAATTTGAATATAAATCGGTTGTTTAGAATTGATTATTTCACAATCATAAAAATTCAACGAATGCCTTTTCGTGTACTGAACACCAGTAATTTAGTTTACTGAACACATTTTGAATGGTAGTATCACCAATTTCAGGGGGATTTGCTATACCTAGTAGATGATCACTATTTAAAAGGAATTTTTTGTATGGCCTGAATGTTAACTGATTTCCTTCGGATTGGAGGCCAAAAACTTAAAATATACGAAATATGGAACCCATAACCCGAATGACTTGTAAACTGTTCTTACTTCATCATGCCGCACAGAAGTCTTTTAAATTCATTGTCCACTTTATCATCGTTCTGCACACTGAAATATTGAACATAAAACAACTCCTTACAGGACATACTTCGCCAATGTAATTCAACCCCGGGAATTTAACAAAGCACTTCCTTGCAGTATATGCATGTACATTGTCATCTAGTTAACTGGATACTGGTAAGGGTTGCTCGATTTAAGCTTCCCCTTTCTTGACAGGTCATAATAAATTAAACCTTATCGAATTCGATACTTCTATTTACTCACCATTTTGTCCAGTCGGAGTAAGGTAGGAGTTTGATTGTATAATTGTGTGCACTTAACCATTCAAACAACCAGCTACAATAATAAATTAATACAATGATTTAGTATCATGTCTCGTTAGTTAATGTAGACGTTATTTGATTTCACTAGAAAACGTGTACATGAACGTGTAATTTGACCCCAGGGATAACTATTCGTCTTTAAACTGGTTTTCCAGGGGCCGATGACATCAAATGAAAGAAATTAATACTTCGGGGAGATAGTTCTATGGCAAAACTGCCCTAATTCACGTCACCATACTAGTCAATGGGCAAAATGGCAAACGCCTGACTTTTTATCTCGAGTTATGGATTTATGTGGCCTCACTGGCCTATCTGAGGTTCTAAAGCTATGTCTAAGCTACATCTTGACACTAAACTCAATAGGGGCCAATCATCTACTTTTTGAAATAATTGGTCAATTGTGACACCACCCCCTCTCTCTGCAGACACAAATTGAAATTCACAAAAATGAAGGCAAAGTTAATACGCCACTTGACTCGAAATTTTCCTTCAGATAACCCAAATAAACGCATTTTCAGAAGAAATGGCATGTTGCCATTGCAAAAAGATTACAACTGTGCCTACATACTAGCTTACTGACTCGTCATGATCACAATTGTGTTGGGACTACATTTATTTTTGAATACTACTTTTTTCTATTCAGCGGAAGTGACGTATTAGGGCATTTTGGCCTAATAGCCACATGGTTGGATGATTTCTGGCTTTAAATTGCGTTTTTCCAATTTACTAGAGTTTTTCAAGTAGTTTTGTGCAGTTTAAGAATATTCTGACAGTAATTATGAAAAATATGGCTACTTCATTACCCCTGGGGTCATTTTTCCAAGAACCCAATGGTTTTCCTTTAAATTTGACTAGTTTTTCATTTACATCATGAAATCCACTGCCTGATGGTGACATTTTTCAGTATCGTGTCAAGAAATTGAGTATTTTATTGCATATTGCGATTTTTAGCCAAAATCACTGAACCATGAACCAGAAAATTGGACAAATTTGGCCCACTTTTTGGCAAAATCTTACTAAAATCATCACTTTTTCATACTTTATTCCATTCAACAACCTCCTGATTTGAAAAATGATGACAAATTTGATCAGTTTTGACTCTGGCCTAGAGAATTGGGACTTTTGAGATATTTTTAGCTCGAATGTAGTCATTCAGAGTGAACAAATACATCAAAAATTGACACTTAACTCACCAATTTCTGACTGCACCCCCGATATCTACCTTCTTTCTATACTGGAAACCATAAGATGGAAAATTCAATCTTTATGATGAATAGCAACTCGTTGGCTTCCCCATTTACGACAACAAATGACATTTAGGGGTCACTTAGGACAAAATTGTAGCCAAATATCGTCAAAATCAGTGGTTTTTGGGGTAAAAAGCGAAAACTGCTGATTCAGCAAAAACATTAAATTTGTTCATGAAAATTCCCCTTTTTGCCTCCGTCCAAAATATGTTTCACACTAATAAACTTCAATTCTGGGCGATTCTGAGTAGTTTTAAAAATTTTTGGTCACTTTCACATGTGACTAATAGGCAAAACTGCCCTAATTCACGTCACCATACTAGTCAATGGGCAAAATGGCAAACGCCTGACTTTTTATCTCGAGTTATGGATTTATGTGGCCTCACTGGCCTATCTGAGGTTCTAAAGCTATGTCTAAGCTACATCTTGACACTAAACTCAATAGGGGCCAATCATCTACTTTTTGAAATAATTGGTCAATTGTGACACCACCCCCTCTCTCTGCAGACACAAATTGAAATTCACAAAAATGAAGGCAAAGTTAATACGCCACTTGACTCGAAATTTTCCTTCAGATAACCCAAATAAACGCATTTTCAGAAGAAATGGCATGTTGCCATTGCAAAAAGATTACAACTGTGCCTACATACTAGCTTACTGACTCGTCATGATCACAATTGTGTTGGGACTACATTTATTTTTGAATACTACTTTTTTCTATTCAGCGGAAGTGACGTATTAGGGCATTTTGGCCTATACGTTTCCGAAGAAGATCTTTGAAAAACGTGTTGTTTAACCCCAGGGGTTTAACCTTTCCGATAGCTAGGATTTTGCAGAGACTTTGCGTCACGTGTAAACATGTCCAAAGATTCTTCTTTAGCCTACTGAAATATATCACGCCTATGGAGAAATCTGTATCCATCATACAGGAATTGCCAATAAATTGTACAATATGTCATGTTTGTACTAACCTAGAATTTAAAGGCTTTGTATTGACAATATGAAATATTTTCCCCATCGCTGCCATGATATTCTGTGTGAATTTTGTAATACAGGTGGACACGAAGTCGACTGGGGTCATCTCAACATTCCAATCTACGATGGGTGCACTTCCAGTTTGTAGACATGCTCGGATCATAAGTAATGTGAAGTCCTGGGGATTCCAGCATGCCGAGACGCTGTCACCAGACAGGTTTCCTATAAGTGGTTATTATACTCAATCCAGGTATATTTACAGGGTGTCAAAAACAACAGCACTTATTTTTCCAGCAAAAATAGATTATTATTGTAGGAAGCTGAAAATCTTGAGAACACAATTAATTTATAATTACCCAATCTATAAATTGCAGCAGGAAGACCTCTATCGATCGCCCTTTGTACTAATTGTTCGGCTACCCATTTTGATTGGGAATAGCCATCAGTAAGTTTCGTAGCATAACGTCGCATATCATCGTCCTCTTTACAATTCAGTAAGCCATTCGGGAAAACTGCATCCGTACTAAGATAAATATGTAATAAATTAATATTAAGATTTAATAGCTTCATCACGATGATTCAATAATGGTAACCCAAATTTCCCCATTGGGCAACTTGATAAAACCTCTTTATTGATTGATGTTCTCTGCAAAACCTCAAAAACAGCTTTGGATATAATTTGACTTCAGTTTGAACGATTTTTAAGAACACTAATGTGTTGTTTCCTTTCTGGATTCATACTGTGTGGAGGCAACTTGTACTTTATATAAAGATTTAAAACTTTCCAATGCCTTTTAAATTTATATTCCATAGATAGTCTATCGTATTTTGTACACACCTGATGTAATGGAGAGGTTTTATTTTACTGGTACACGCAAAAAGAAGAACATTCTGTGTTCCTAAAACATTTGGACCATGAAGTGCCTACAAAACACATTGGTATGCATGTTATTATTACACATCGATTTTTTCTTTTTTGAATAGTTTTGATTTTTCATTTCTAAAGTCAAGAGATGTCCTAAAGTCACGAGCTCAAGGCAATACTGCTATGTCATATTTAACTATAAAATGCGGATCAATGATGAATTTGAAATACTATTCAGAAAAAAAAACATTTTAAAATGACACATTTTATATATCCCTGTCATAGATCAAACACTCTATAACCAACTTGATTTACTGTATTAATTAGGATAGACCCAGTAGAATAAGGAATCTGTATGATAGAATTATATCATTATATAAGCCTTCCCACCATAAATAAGTGAGTACCTCGTATGGGTAGATTAGGTTGACGTATGCTGCGGCGTGTACTATGAAATCAATCTCAGTCGTAAGGTATGCGTACATATCATCTTTGACACCAAGGTTAACAAGAGCTACATCTCCTAAAGTACAATTTTGAGGAATTAAATGTTAGACCTTTTTTATAGACACGTGTCGTGACTGCTTGGCTTGCAAACTTGCAGACTATTAGTTGTAACATTGTCATCTTCAAATAAAAGGTCACAACTATGAGTCTATATTCTGATATGCACTCACAAGAAACTAAACAATTTAGTTTTACTTGACATTATCAGTTTTTCAAAACTTTAGACACAGGTCAAAATCAATTAACTGACAAACCGTTTATAACTTGAACTCGAGAATCAAATTGTTTTTGGAGGAGTGCTTGATCTTCTGTTGTTTTCAGGTTGTCTCCATTGAGAATGCCAAACTGTTCCAAAGTTTGTTTAACTCGATCATGGCCGTCAACATTGGGTTGCTCACGTACCAAACAAAAGATCTGCGTCTGGAAAGCGTTAATTCGAACCTCAAGTCATTCCGAGTAATATTAAGGAGTATTTTAAAGGAATATCGACATTATGTAGTTTAAATTGAGAACATAAAATTTTCAACGCAACCTACTTTTGAACGAAGTAGTAAATCACGAAGAATAAAAGCGCCAAGAAAGCCGGTGGAACCAGTGAGGAGAACCCGTCCCGTGTTCCACCTATCGCCATACTTGATGGATCTCCAAAACGCACGTAGTTGTATATCCATGCTGCAACAAATGGCTGAATGGTAAATGACAGTACTGATCAATCAAATAAAAATTAAATGAATAAAAAGACATCCGTTGCAACATTTAAATGCCAACCAATAGTAAATCAACCATAAAGACATCAGAATTAAATCAATTTCAAAAACAAGTCATTGCTCAAACAATTTTTTTAGATATTATAATTAGGAATTGAGCATTTGCATAAGAATACAGCAGATGCACCTACTTCACTACAGCTTGGTCGTGTCTATCAACCTCTTTCAGGAGATCAACGTCATCCCGCGCAATATTCACTTCGTCACTAGTTGCTTTACCACGTTTACTATCAATGAGTCTTCCCATGGCAGATATGGTTGAATAGTTGAAGAGATCAGAAACTGATAATTCCAAGTTGAATTTCTCCAGCAGTTTGTTGAGCAGCCTAGTTGCAGTTAGGGAGTGTCTAAATTACAAATATATTTCTCTGGTGACTACGACACCATAAAATAATTCATTGATAACTATGAGATTATAACCTGTTGTATAAATATGTCAAAACATTGAAAATCAACATTTTGTTTGTTTCAAACTCATACATAGGAACATATTTAAATCATACAAATACAGACATACAGAGCCATGCGCAAAGGTGTCCAAAATCCGTCATACAAGACCAACTATAATTGAATTATTTTCCAAGTAACTCCTGTGCAATCTACATTTTATACATTTAGGGAATACTCGTATTACCCTCCGAGGTCAAAGAAGCTTTCCTGTGTGTCTATCGAGATAAGTCCGAGAACATCACACCAGATCGGGACCAGCTCCTTCTCTGTTTCAGTCTTTGGGAGTCCTTCTGTTTCCATTGGACTGTTACTGGACGCATCGAGGGGAGGAAGCGCTTTCTTGTCCAGTTTTCCAGAAGCTGCCAATACGGGCAAACTACAAAGAGATGACGAGACAATGTTCAGTGTAAAACGTATTTGAAATTTACAAAATTAATGATTGATATTTCAATTGTCAAAAGCGATCGCTGTTTTCATCAATAAAAGGCATATGAAATCAAGATGTCAATATTCGACGAGTTCAAAGACCCAAACACTCAATTCTAAAAGTTTATTAAAACTTTAGATTATCTCATTTCCTTTGCAAACAGAGCAACTCAAAAGGCATTTTCTTAGGGATTCTCTTGAAGATGTGAGTTTGAATCAGAAAAGGATAAGTGGGAAAGGAAGAGGAGACGCGGAGTGCGAAGGAGGTGAGGAGAATGGGAATGTAGGACGAGACGTGGGGGTGACGCGTAGGGACGGGTATGAAAGGAGTGAGAGAAGATGAGGCGATGCAGAGGAGTGGGGAAGGAGGCGATGGGAGAGAACGAAGAAAAAAGAAGCAGCAAATACCTTGTGAGGAATATTATATAAGATGGAATCATGTAAAACGGCAGTCTCAGCTTCAGTGCTGCTCTGATCTCTTTCTTTGTCGTCTGTCCCTCTGGCACAACGTAAGCTACCAAATATTTATCCTCTCCTTCGGCCCCTCGTGCAAGTACCACACCAGTGTTCACCATGGGCAGCTCAAGAATTGCCGCTTCTACTGCCTTCGAAATAAATAATTATATACAAATCATAGTTTCTGTTATGTTCGTTGTTTTAACGATACTATTGGTTACATTGGCATCATATTTTTGCTATTTGGTTTTATTATCAGCGCTTAAATTATATGATATTTGATTATTTTGATGTTTGGTTGGATGACAATGATAATTCAAGACATTCAGACCTAATTATGAATCAGTTGTTTAAGAAAGTGAATAATTTGACATAAATACCAGTTATTGTTGTTACCTGTGTTTCAATAGAATAGCCTCTTATCTTCACCATGGAATCCAACCTGCCGCATATTTCAAAGCTTCCATCCGATAGAAGATAACCGCAATCGCCAGCTTTGTACAGCCTTTCACCAACCTTAGGAGAGACACCTATAGGCCGTTTTATGAACCTCTGCTCATTTAGCTGGGGACGGTTCAAGTAACCAATTGCAAGCGTTGGTCCCCCGATGTAGATCTAATAAAATGTGATATAATTAAGAAATCTCGACTGTCAAATGCGCCACATTCACCAATAGCCCCACCTCATATGACAATGATAATTAAGGGAATTTTAACATCTGAAACAATAGGGAAATATCAAGCTTCCATTTATAGCAAAGACAGTCTCTTGATAAGACCCAGACAAAATGAGCCTCGACATTTTAGAGCACAGGGCGAAACAAAGAAATACATATAATAGGACAGAACCCAGGTGTACATCTGAACAATTACAATAGGTAGAGGGAGGGACATTTTTAAGAATTGAGACCGTAACCATTTCTTAAAAAAGAAGGCCTATTTGTGAATATGAGACCCGCCTTATATCAGTCAATGGGCTATATCAACTTACGAACCTCTCCAGATACTCCAAGCGGCTCTGGCTCCAATGCTTCGTTTAGAATCACCATCTTCACTTCCGGTATCAGCTTCCCAACTGGACAGAACTTTTTAGATTTAGCATGGTCAACGTCACTTTTATACCTAATAACGAAAATAGCTGAGTCTGCAGTAACGTTATACCATGAGCATCTATTTCCATGGTGACGTCCATGGTCTTCAAATGCAGTATTCATTGTACAGGTCTTTTTTCAATGTGTCTCATAAGTTCACTTGCTTTCGAAATTCAAGCTTGGTTAATTTGCTGACATTAAATTTATCAGATCATGACATAAAAGGACCTGAACAATTACTCGGAAGAATTGTCAACAGCTTCAATACCGACCCAAAGGAGGAAATATGCCAGAATTCACAGATGAGCTATCTCTATGTAAAGATAAATCTCCATAGTTCATCTATGAATTCTGGGATATTACCCTCTTATGATAAGTCATCCTCCGTACGCAGGAATATATTCTTCCTTTTTACTGAAGGAAGAAGATGGTACGGATTCTGGACACCTGCTTAGGAGGATGATACTAAGTAAGTACTAACCAGTTAGAAAGATCAGCGTATGTGACGTCATGTGATTCACTGATGCTATAGAGGTTTAAGAACCGAACCCATGGAAGCAATTTGAGACATCTCTCCAACAAGGCAACTGTCACCACCTCCCCGCAGAATATTATAGTTCTGAAAAAGGTCCATATATAGCTCTTATTTTATACATGAACTTATGCGGGCTGTTTATTCATGACTTCAGATTTCTGTGAATCCATGGTTTATAATCCTGTAATCTATATGCATCATATCTAGATCTACGGCAAAATTCGCCACTTCATGAAGTATGTCAGTTTTATTAAAAACCTTGCGATTCAGTTTAAGGTTGTGTCAAAAGTCGGCCGAATTTCTTTCAAAATCATTATGTACAATGTAAGTCTCAGTCAATAAATGTCAGTTTACCTCATTGACTTGAGATAGTCCGAAATGATGATTCCGTCATATTCCAACACAGCTTCCAGAAGTGAGGGCGTGAACAGAATCCGCGTTATTTCATTCGTCATTAGGAATTCGCAAAGCAGTTTAGGGTCATATATTTTTGTGTCTGGGATAATGTACATGGCCACACCTATAAAATGAATTGGCATCAGTTTTTCTGTGCATTAAGTGCGAGGCCTGCGCTTATAGTTGTTGACAAAGATTTCGAGGGTGTGAGGATATACAGGATATAAAAGCTACAATTTAGGAATGACAATTATTGGCAGAGAACATTACTGAATAGCACTGCACGAACCTTTCAGCAGTGGTCTCAGCATTTCCCAGACGAAGAAGACATTGCATGCTTCTCTCTCATGGTCACCATAAGGGAATTGCGTGTGTCTGTAGTGGTAGGAGAACACAGCTCCACGATGAGGACATTGGATGCCTACAAACGAAGAAGTGAGACAGACGGACATTGATCGTATTTTTGTGTCCAGAACTAATGGGCATGGTTGTAATGTAAATATGATATTTCTGTCGACCCCCGGTGTCGACTTTCTATGGAAGAAGTCGTGTCGAATTTATGTTCCGCCATTTTAAATGGGGTTTCAACTTTGAAATCACGGACTGATTATCACCTCAGTCTTACATACCGTAAGGATTGTCTTGAAAATTTGAAATTAGCTCAACACTTGCATTTCATGACTTATACACGTCTCTGATCAGTGATTAGGCTGAATCTCTTTACCTTTTGGCTTCCCTGTTGTTCCACTGGAATAAACAATATAGGCGAGGTCATCCAATGTTGTGCCAGGAGATGTGGTCAATGGCTCATTAGAAGCATTCGTCTTCTTCAGTTCATCAATCCATCCAGGAGATATTACAATAACTTTGGTTCTAGAGTCATCTGGAAAAAAAGTACACTCGTTATTACTAGTAGTGGCAATTTTATGTCCGAATAGGATACATTCTGCAAAGCAAATGTACATTCTTTAGTTATTGTTAGACCACTTTTGAGCTATTCATTTTTTTAAATTCAACCTAACTTTACGAGGAGTTCAAAGGGCCCATAACGAATCACGAAGGCAAACTGTTCCATTGTAAGACAAATCATCTATACAGTCTCAAACTAACCAATGTTCTGTGATAGTTGTTGTTCAGCTATTACAGCTACAGGAGTAGAGTCCTTCACTATCTCATCCACTAGGTGCTTGGGATACGATGGGTCCATCGGCATATAGCCACCACCTGTAGCAGAGTACATATATGATACAATACAACGTTAAATAATGCTGAAGAAAGCTTGTACACACAAATCTTACCCCCTGGGACAGTGGGTTGTGACCATCATGCCCAACCCACCTTCACAAGAAGGCGAAGAAGATGACCAGTTGGGACCAGGTGCAATGTGATGGTCAAATAGTATGTCACATTGTGGTATTATTGCCAGATATGGCCGATGCGGCATTAGAACTAAAAAACGTTTGTTCAAAATAGGTAAAGACTAAAAAGACCATATCGTGTATTTCAAAGAAGAGATAAAAAATCAGTCTGAAAATATTAGATATCATATACCCCGAGCTGAACCAAATAGTCAAACCATAAGCCTCTTCATAACGCTTTGAATGCTTGCAATTTGAACCATGCACTTTTCAACTTTTGATCAAATTAGTACAAGTAGGTCAATGAGTGAATGTCGATAAACTATATTTTCAAGTTCGAATCGCATAATTATGAAATGACAAAACGTGATATAGCTACCACTGCGCTATCTGAACTTACTAAAATGTAAAGTACACACAAATTACTTGAATAACATATTTAGAAAAAATCTAGTGTGACGAGGATTTAATGGCGAGCTGTTTTAAAAAGAAATATTCAGAGGAATTTGAGATGTCGACAGCCTGCCAATGAATACTACTTTGGAACAGAGTGAAAATTATTATACAAAGCAGAGTAAATATTTTCCTTACCAGCTTTGAGGATTGCAATGTACGAAATGACATATTCAATACGTCGAGACATATAAATTCCCACACATGTATTTGGGGCGACACCTATATGTCGCAAATGAGTCGACACAACGTCCGTAGCTTCATTCAACTCTCCAAACGTCATAGAAGTCCCGCCATCTGCCACAACTGCTACATTGTCAGGAGTGGCCAGAGCTTGGCGGACAAACATGTCATGGAGAAGACCTTGATTTTTATAATCCATGATTCTTGGTCCCTAAAACAATTTTTTGAATGTACAGTAATAATTTTTCAGATGGTATGGTAATCATGACTATAATCACCATTTTAAGATGATAATTAATAATATTTTTTGTTTAATATTCATAATGTTTCAATCATTCCAAATGTTGACTTTATAGCACATGACACATAACTTGTCTTTGAAATTACTTACCCGATTTGGCGGTCGTGTAAGGTTCGTAAATGTGTGTACTGTAATTATCAAACTGAATGTATCGCTAGTCTCGCCCGACTGAAGCTTCTACTTCTAGAATTACAAGTTCTTCCACGGGGTTGCATCCGTTGTAATTCTTTGGCAGAGCTAAGATTAAAGTATTGTGTGAATAATGTGTATACCAATGTAGAGTAGGTAAATGTCAAATGAGTAAGAAATGATCGCGATTAAATTATGAACTCTGATATGTCGTGGACTTCACCCGCGACTTGTTGGGACCAAGGTCTAGTTGCTATCAAAGAGGGAGACACTCCAGAATCCATAGGTAAACCTCTCTCTATGTAAAGCTGAACCAGGGTCCTCTCGATGTTCATAAGTTTACTTAAAATGGAGGTGGCCTCATCTATGAATTCTGGGTATTTCCTCCTTTGCTTCAAATATGTTAATGATGCAAGATGTGTAGACTAGCTTACATCCTAATTGAAAAATAGAACATAAACATTCTGATACGTATCATATCTTTGTGTTGTCGAAGTAGCAATGTATTGAGAGAAGACAATGTTCGGGATGAAAAATAACGTCCAGTAAAAATAATAATGTTTTTGGTCACTGGGGTTGTTGAAAAATTGGACTGAAAAATTGGACTGAAATTCCCTACCCTGGGAGCAATCTAGTGAAACAATTGTCCTACCCTTGTAGCTAGTAATTATAAAATAATAGGATTCTGACAGTACCACGTGTCAAATTACCGATCCTACTCGCATGGGAAGGGTCTACACAAACGTTTGAATGTTGCTTTATCATTGAATTGTAATCCCCTGAAAATATTTTGTCAACAATTCTTATTCTCAATGTACTAAGCCTGTAGATCAAGTTCAGAGAAAACATATAGTATAAATGACATAAACAGAACACGAAGTAAACAATGCATCCCTCATAGTGAATAACAAGGCATTAACATGCAAAATGTTACAACCTGCCTTTTGTTGCAGACGCCGACCACCGAACATCAACCGCCGAACGCCGTCCACAAAAAGTTGGAGACTATAACAATATGTCACAACTTCATTAAAAAAGGAGACACGGTGTCTAATAATGTTCTATGTAACGGTTCTCTTGCGTTGCAGTTCGCAAACCTAACTAAATCACTTTCCAATATTACGTGACAAATGGAAATTTTGAACGATTTGGAATTGGTTTGATTACTGCTAATGACGTCCCATCCTCATATTCTATTCTGGTATTAAATTGTAAATGTAATCTATTGAACGAAATTCGCGTATTGAAAGCTGGCTAGCATCTTACTACAGGGTGATACCATAAAATGTGTCGTTTGTAAACTCACTTTCTATTTTATTTGTCTATACAGCAAACCTAGCATTTAATGTACCATTGGAAAGAAATATTGATTTGTATGTGGTATAGATGTTATCAACCATTAGAAAGGTATGGCAATAGGCAATATAACTGGTCAATCTGAAACATAGGACGGGCTGATGTGAAAAAATTACTTCACCTCGGCGGGAATCGAACCCACAACCTTCCGATAACATGGCAATCGGCCATATAACTTAAAGGCAGAATCAGATCTATATGGGGTGACAAGATTGCAATCAATATGTACAATTGTCATACCAATCTATTCCTTATGATCTCAAATACAATATCTCTCGAAAGATTCGCGATATGTTATAAATTGGTGAAGTTATGAAGGATTAAAAGTGCAAAATTTGGAGAAATGCGTTTAAATTCTGCCAAATAATAAAAATGGTAACCATAAAGATAGAAAAATGATACATTATTGGAAAAAGCTTTTGTTTTTTTGGATAAACTATGCGCTTTGGGATTTTTAGAAAATAGACGACGTGACGTGAAACATGATAAGAGCCAAAAATATTCTAAAATTGAAAAGAAGTTGTTTAGCTTGCTCGCTAGATCTGATTTTCTCTTTAATTTATTGAGAAATATATTTACCATTTACCTTGTAAACATTAATTGGTGATTAGTGTATTGATATGTTTGTAGTAATTGTAAAATACGAACATTTTTAATGTGAAAGGCATGTCTTCTTATAAATGAACTATAAAAATTTAATTTCATAATTTTATTTTTCAGGACTCTCCACATTTTGTTTGACATTTGCTGGATATAAGTCCACAGTTGTAACCAGTTATAGGTTTATGCATGGGTTACATTTTATTTTTTTATTTCGTCATTTTTATGTACTAAAGTCACAGGCACATCATAAAACTGCCTTTTGCCCTTTTTGCTATTCCTTAAAACCCCCTGGTGGTGAAATGGTATTAACCAAACTGATATAAAATAAACCTCCATAAGCAACTTTCAAAGGGTATATTGAAACCTCTGGACAAATTGTGTCATTCACTTCTCTTAGTTAGAGGCCCTTGTTTGCTCAGCTACATCGTATATCGTTCGGACATCAGGCGTTATTTAAAATATTACAGCAACTTATCTCCATAAGCCGTGGGATTTGGTATCATCAGTCTGCTGTCACACGAGGAATACGTTGACTGGAATGATCCGGATCTTTCACTTCCACATATTACTACGCCATTTGGGTCTAATTTTTGCATTTCAGCCGTATGGCATCTTTCACGCGCGCGTCTCCTATTAGAACGTGACGTTCGTTCCATACGTGTGTTTTCTGATGTGAAGTTGAACAATTTCTTCACGCCGTGTTGGAGATCTTTATAGCATGAAAATAAAACCACTGCCATCCAAATCCCTCCGCTGTATGAAATAATCTCCGTTATGGCATTCAACTTTGGGTTAAATACATCAGTCACCCAGGCGTAGAGGACAACGCTCTGTTTAGGTAGGTTAGTTAAAACAAATACGGCTACCAACAAGACTGCCATTTTCAACATCTTAAGCTTCCGAGTTATAGAAGATGTTTTCAGTCTTGAAGTTTCAAGTTTACGCCAGATTAATACTAGCAAAACGACAAGGGCAATAATCGGTAAAAGGAACAGCACTATCATGTCCATTATTAAAAAGAACGCCCCTATTGCATTTTCAGACTGGAATGTACACACTGAGTATCCGGACGAGTTTGGGGTTGTCATGTTGGAGGGTTGGTGTTTCGCTAGCGTATATGAAGAAATGTTAAGGCTATCATTTACGATGACGTTTTGAGTTGTATAATTCACAACGACCCATATATTTACCGCAGCCGCGAAAAAGCAGGTCAAATTTAAAAAGAACATCGACTTGGCTTGGGTAATGCTAGCGTGCACGGAGTAGTAAATTATGAAAAATGCATCTAATGCGATAGAAATAATCACATAAACACTAACTGTTCTGCACCAGTAGTTGATATACATGTAAATTTTACAAAGTCTGGGTCCAATTTCATATGAGGTGTTTGCTTTGGTGTACAAATGAATTGGTATGACAACGACGGATATGATGATGTCAGCAGCTGCTATGGAAACAATTACTAAACTTGTTGTCGTTCGAATTTGTTTAAATCCGACAAGAAGACACAATATACAGCCGTTGCTCAAAAGAATAAGTACAATCAAAACCAGGTCAATCATAACGTAAATCATTTCCTCCATTTTGAATTCTGTTCGACAATATCGCTCCTTTATGCTTTATCCGACTTTACAATATACGTTCTCCTCTGCAGATTTTGGGTCAAAGACAATGTCCCTTGTACTTTCGCAATTGAGGTTTAACTATGATGAACTTCCTTTTTCCATGGACAAGCCGGGTATGCATTATTTTTCCATTTTACTTTAACGTTGACAATATCTCAGCTCGGAACAATAAGCCTCCAATTTTGTAATTTGCTATTGTAAAGAATGAGAAAATATCCCTCGCACTAGTGTCAGTCCAAGACTGTCAAATAGTGTTTTTGGTGTTTAACTACCATAAGCCCTTATTTGTATATTTATATCCTCACACATATCTTATACATATCGGCATCGAGTTCAAATAATCTGTAATTTCGATAATTTCATGCGCTTGATAAATCCGTATTATATCCTGCTGTATCCAATTCCAATAAGTTACAATTGATATCAATCTCTTCGATTTATTACCAAGAACGTTACATTGATAACCGACCGTGATATAACGTTTATAACGTGTATACAAATGTGCTGCAGTTATTACAAAATTTATTACGTACAGTCCCCTAAATAAGTTTGGAAGCCCGAAATTCCATTTTGGAAATCTAACGCATTCGCTGTCCTAACTTTTTTTTCTATTTTTCTATTTATGGGTTTTGGATACCTCCTTTTGGATACGGATTTAGCATTTCTTTGTAATTATATAAAAATGTGTTTTAATTATTTTTACAATCTAAGAAAGAAGAAATAAAATATTATCATAAATTCCACCAACTTTTACAGAGATCTAGCCGCTGTTCAAAAATTCTACAAAATGTGATATACAGCAAAATGGTTGTTTCTTAAAAGAAAATTCGTTACATGCATTTTTAGAGTTGTCCATTTCATCACTTTGAAATGACTAAATAAGTTCATAGTCTGGTAATGTCAAATCCATTTATTAGTGTTCATTGTCATTTGGATTCAGTCTGCATTCGAAAACAAAAAAATTGTAATAAAGTCTGTGATAATGAACACTAATAAATGAACATATCGAATGCCTTGTAAATCTACAAAGATAATTTACAGTTGCCAAACTTATGGAAGGGGGTGTACCTTCAGAGGTTAAATACAAGTTGTAGTATCAATAGACAATACTCCGGGAAGAATTCGTTCAATCAATCAGGTAATTGGACGCTCACGACCTCCTCCGAGTGAGCCGAGTTACATTTTGGATCCCATTTGTATGTCAAAGTTAGAAGTTATTAGTTGAGGCATTCAATACTGTCTACCTAAACAGTTGCAATTGATCCAGTGAATCTAATCCTATTTTCAACTGATCTATGTTCAATCGATCCATTATTAAATACCATAATGAGACGATGTCTATTGAACGAATTGTTTGTAAGATCCGACGTAGACGGATCATGCATAACCATGGTAACCAGACATCGCAATCTCTTCCTTTTGAATTACAGATAGTCATTCTTTAAAAAATAACGCTTACAAAAATGTTTGGACTCCTCCTAGTTGGACAATTAAAATTTCAAAGCTCATACTCATACACATGTATGTGATGTACGTAGTTTTCTTCTGAGGCAAGAGAGGCGAAATTTTTAAAAGCTTCATTTAAAACTAATTTCATAATGGCCTTATAAAGTTTAATAGCCTTTGTTAGAAATCATTCACCTGTATACAAAGTTACGTCCACGAGCTCTTCATTTCATATGTGCTAGTATCTACAACTATTGATGTTATGAGTTTATTTATCAATTTATATCAATTTGAATTTATTCATCATGTATTGCAAATTGCTTCTGTATGAATAAAATGTCCTTTGGTGTCATCCTTTGTATTGTATTGTGATAATGAAACTTGAATGATGGGGGTATTAAACATTGTTTCTTTCAAAGTTGTATTATGTTTTGGGATAGTTGGGGTTTGTTTTCCTTACGACTGGTATGGTGTACACTTTAACAGTAGATGTTTTCTTTTTTTGCCGAGCTATGTATCAATTTTTGGTGCTTTCCTTGGCACTCGTGCGTACATAATATCCCCAATGTCAAAGGCTGGTACATTACGTGAAACTTTCATTCAGAGAAGTAAAGCCAAACCATTGGAAACGGTACAGGTACATACATATTTAATATAATTAATCATAAATACCAGGTATAACTCTGTGCTATCACGCGAATAGGTAAGAATGGAATATCGTGACGTCACATTGTTTACCGTCTCCACGGAAACCTTGTAAAAGTATAACCATTCTTCTTGGAAATGCAGATGTAATTTTCGGGCTATCCAGTGACAGCTTTTGAGAAAATCGAGGTAAGTGATATAAAGTAGATAACTTGCATTATAATTAAATTGTATTCTAACCAGTTAGATCAGAAAATAAATATTGGTACGCACTGTAGGTTTAAGCAATCTACAAAGGATCAAGAAGAAAAAAACTATGAAATGCCGAGTAAATCAAGATCACAGGGCCTTTTGCCATAAACTTGAAAGAAAAAGTACTAATAGTAAATAATTTATCTATTTTATAATTTGTCTATTTCCGTCTTTCATATCAATTAGAAACTCGCCTAATTAAATAAAAATCAAACAAAGAAAATGAAAACTGGTTGAACTTTATTTAGCAGGACGAGATGAGAACCAGATTCTATAAGAATATAAATATTATAGACATGCGCATGAAAGTCAAATGTGAAAGAATGAGAGCAGTCTTAATTTTAAAAGGAAACATAAATGATCGGGGTTGAGAAACCATACCCTAAACACTACTAGATGCTTGCATGGCCTACTACGTACGTGTAGATGAAGCCCTCTTTTGGGGACAATAACTCAAACTCTCGACAATATTATATTTCAAAAGATTCCCGACAATATAATGGTTTTCACACTCAGCGAAAATGGGGTCCCAAAAATGTAGAAAATTGGAATATTTAATAACCGGAGTTCAAAATTGGATCACAACTGAAATGTAACATCAAATGAAAAACAGTTGTTGTCAATATCTTCTAATATCTGAATATCATATGGGCTATTTGCCTGCAGTTTGTAATTTGCCTCTTTTGCTTTATCTTATTTGTCGATAAAAACGCATTCGATTATATCAGGAAACTTGGTTGGATAAGGGACACGGGACATTTTTATTTGACAAAGTGGCAACAACCTAAAGTGCATGTTGTATCTGTTTTAGCAGTTTGTACAATTTTGCAAATTAATTAGTGCAATGTAACATACACTTAATCAGACTTACTCACTTAGACTAGTACTCCAGTCCCATCATGGGAGGCATGCATGCATTCATAATTATTTATGACAATATTGTTGTATTAATACTTGATAAACATACATCTTCCTATTCCACGTTGGCGTTAAAATTGTTTAGCGATATTTTTGTTGGAGCCATTTTCACTGTGGCACAACAAATGATTAGAAATCTTAAAAAAGAGATATGGATATTTAACAATACTCTAAGAATTAAATTGTTTACTTTCTTTTAAAGGAAACCCTTGTTTGTACTTGATGTCTGTCTTTTTACTGATTAACAAGTATACATAACATGTTCGTGAATGTGTTTTCGCTGAAAGTAACTGATGGCATGTGTACAAATATGGACATGCGCTTGCATTTGTAAATATTTCGCTGAAAGTAACTGATGGCATGTGTACAAATATGGACATGCGCTTGCATTTGTAAATATTTCGCTGAAAGTAACTGATGGCATGTGTACAAATATGGACATGCGCTTGCATTTGTAAATATCTTCATTTTGTGACAAGAACTTTTTTTATCTTTTTAAAATTCATTTTTGACAACTATAACCATTGAAATCACTGTTAAACACCTGTACACACCAAGCCAAAATTAAGTATAGAATTACTTTACAAATGCTCCACATAGCGACTATCATGGCGACCTTAGCAACATAACAAACTTAGGCACTTTGACTATTGTTTGGGTATTGGATCAATTGGCTCGATAATATGTATTTACATTTATGATCCTTGAGATTTCGTGTACACCAGACGAGTCACATATGAACATTTTATCAATAAAACATTTTCATTAAAGTTAAACGCTTGGATAAGTTAACTGCTATCAATATATTATTAATGAAGTACTTCGGATTAAATGAACACACATCAATTATTAACCATACAAAAATTTGTAATTATCGGAGAGAATTTGGTAAAATAAATGAGACAATCACGAACGTAACTTGGATAAATCAATATAGACTAAAATACAATAATAAGTTAATGGAAACGCAATTTGGGTGTACATAGTGATAAACCAACCGAGAATATACTAGAATGGTACTCCATGAAAACACTCAATAAGCTTTATAAGAGGAGCCAGAAAGTGAAGTGTTAAGACAATACGAGCTGGAGAATTCTAAGGAATTATCTAATAAAAGGAATCTGTGATCAATACAAGATAATATAAAAAGCGTGATTTATAATATTAAGTTCACGATGACAACCGCTATCCCACACCCGGTGATGTATTCTACGCATCAAACAGACTTCACGGGCTTTCAACCAAAGGTAGGTCAGACCCAGGTTGGGAACAGATCCTTTATGAACGTCTTGGTTTTTAAACATAGTTTTTTATTTCCTTTTATGGTCAAAAATACATTATAACATCCCAAGATAACATCGACTACCAATCGCCTGGGCATTCTAGGTAGGACAACGCCTTGGAGCACTACAAGATCAAAACGTATACCACTACTGTGAGGCCCATGGGCTATTAGTACCGAAGGCGAAGTTCTCTTTTAAAGACTCTCTTGAAGAGGGTTAAGTATCATAAACTGCCTTTTCAGTAGTTCGAATTCGCTTCCTTTTAAAGAGCTTCGTTTAATTAATTACTACACTTAGGGCCGCAGAATACAAATGACCAGAATATCTGGGACAATATGTATTTTTTTGTTTCCGACTTGGTAAATGACATTCACAATTTAATATTAATGACACTTTGACATAAGATATTGATGGCCTGTTTACATTTTTTCTTATTTATTGAGATCTTTTTTAATTCGATTCCAGGTCACCGATGATACAATAGCAACAACAGGATTTGTACCTCACCTGGAAAGTTATCATCAGAAGGCTTCGTTGGATGACCAAATAAGGTGCGAAGAACTTATAGATCAAATAGAAAAGACATCTAGGCCACAGCGCCCCCTTTCTGGAACGCACAGGGTCACCCTCCCACCCAACTATAGACGAGGCTACGCAGGGCCAACTCTTAAACGACCCCAATCAGCTATGGCTGCACTAGGCGATATGAAAATGAAGAATGCGGAGTTTTTAAACCCATATCAGACAACATATCACAAGGAATATTTTGAAAGAGATACTCAACCGGCAGATGCTGAGAGGTAAGTGGAGCTCATTGTTCATCCCATCTCGGAAATAAGTATTTCAAGTTTCCCCATATCCCTTTTAAGATTCAAGCCTTATTAATAATGAACAACAACTCAAATATTGCGTTTGTTGAAATGAAATATCCACTAAGATATAAAACAGACAGGTCGACACCCACGGGCCCGGGCACCGCAGGTCTAGGTTATACACATGGTGGCATAAAGTATCTTTTCCATACAAATCCGATGTGCAAGGTGTAACAATACTTTATGGACACCTATCACTATCTAATACTCTTTTGCAAAATTTCTGGATCTATCGATGTGGAGATGAGTTTTGAGAATGATATCTATCTAAAAAGATTGCAAGCCACAAATGATCGAAAACATTTCATAACCGGTACCGGACCAATCAATGCAAACGTCAGCAACAAAATTGCAAATGACATATTTAATAATGATTTAGAAACCAAAACCTCATAATTTTAAAAGTATGGCGCATAAAGTCAATAATCAGAATCAACAGAGCAAACCACTGAGTTCAAGTAAATCAAGTTTCTCGTGGCATACGGTGTGGAAAGCTGCACTAATTGGCATGATCTTTGAATAAAGCACCGATGCTGTTTGTACCTCTTCTTATTCGATAGTCGCTCAACATTTGTTTGTCAGGTAATAAGAGTTACCGTATCCTACACCAACATTCATTGATTCTTTGATATTTTCAGGCCGGGTTCTTCTCAAGGTTTTACAGCTTCATATGGCTTGTCGGAGCCTATAGGCGATACCACATACGGTACAGAGTTCTCGGATAAAGGGTACATGAAACCAGAGCAGATAAGAACTGGAAGTTCCAGTGGACACAGAAAAAACAACCCGCACCCCTTAAAGGTAACAATAGTAACATCATCCCATTAACTTCCGGGTTTGAAAAGGAAGAAACTGACTACTCGTTGTTATACATTATGAACTGTCTCATTGCTATTGACGGCTGCAAGTGATTGCAATACATTTATCAGATTATACTCATAAAAATCAATAGCTGCGTTTCGTATACGACCTGTTAAATATGAAGCGATCATTTATTTGTAAATGATTGAGTAGAGTTTTCTCATGTGCTGTGATGGCCGAGTGGTTAAGGCGTTGGACTTGAAATCCAATGGGATCTTCCCGCGCAGGTTCGAACCCTGCTCGCAGCGAATATTTTTGATTGTTTTTCTTTCAATCTTCCTTTATTACAGTTTTACTATTATGAATGTTATCCTTTTAATTAATTTTTTTATTTATTTTTTTTATTAAAATCAATGTAACATATTTAATTGATTAATTCCTATTTATTTATTTAATTTTACTCAGGAATATTATATATCATTTGAAAATAACAATAAAATATTGATTTCATTATTTTGACACACAAGCACAAGTATATTCGGGAAATTAAAAAAATCTAATTGAGGTATTTTTTCCAATACAATAGTACAGTTAAGGAATAAATACGGAGATACTATGATTTATGTGGAATATATGATGATCAAAGATTTTAGTCTGAGGTCTTTGGCCATTATGAAATCTGAGGTAAATCATAAAATTTAGGTCTTTGTAACGATTCAAACACGATGAAAACTTCTCAACTTTTGGGACATTCTATTTACCGGATTCTTCTTGCGTAAATAATATGCCTAAAGTATCGATAATGAAATTGACGTCACAGTTGGTTGGTGTTGATATTTCTGATTAATGCTACAGTTTCCACGTTTTTCTAGGCGTTTATGGTTTGGAAATTTCCAAAAGGCATCAAGGGGGAACAACCCAATAGTGAATGGGCGACACAGCTGACCGATGAAATGATGGATAAAGTTTGTAGGGGAAAGACAAAATCAACATACCAGTCAGACTTCATGGGAATCCCTCAAGGTTTGTTTGTTTGTTTATTTCGGTTTCTCCATTTGTTTGTTGCGGTTTAATTAGAGTGGTGGTGTTACCTTTTGCAGCTTATACTAAAGAGAATATTATTAATTATAAGTACTTTATCATTCCTTTTCTTAGGTTTCCAAGTAAAGGAGGCGTTTGATGTTAAGGATGACTGGAGATCGAATGTTCCTTATACATTGGACTCGTGTAAAAGATGGAGCTACCAAAAGCCCAACCAACAAGCCATACTTAAAGAAAACACAACCAGATATGGGTGCAATAAAAATAAAACGATTCCTGTTGCTGGAACAGGTAAGCTTGGTAATATAAATAAAAATTAAATATTAAAAACGTTTTGACACCTTTCATTACTGCATACCTCCTATTCCTAATCTATTACAATCCGATTGTTATTTCAGTGCCAACCGTTTCAATGAGGCAATTACACCTGAAGAAGAGTACAACATATGAACGAGAATACAACAATAGACTACGAGAAAACATACAGGGCGCCAAGGAATACCAACGTATATATCCAGGAACAGAAAATTTAAGAAGATCAATAGAAGCAACTGGAACATCAAGAGGTATAATAGTTGATTATGTAGATCAAAAAAATTGTGGACAACGACCATAACATTGTTTGGACGACGACCATGGTATTATCTGTACAATGACCATGATATTTTTTGAACAACGACCATAACATTGTTATTATGATATATTGTCTGAACAACGAACATAATCATAAACTAAGTTTGACTATGACTGCGAATATGAGAATGACTCTACAATATAAGAAAACTAGTACATATGAGCTTTTCATTTATCATTTTAACTCTGTATGTAATCTAATTCCAACGATCGCTCATACTAAACACGATATGGTACATTAATAATAGTTCTACGTGTTTAGATAGATGTCTGCTCAGAGTTTTAAAACAGAACTACTCGGTAATATTTATTGAAACACCGGCTTAGAGTGTACAATCTGTGTATGCGTCATTATGAAATAGTAAATATATATTTTTAATCAAATAGAGAAAAACAGACTGTTAATGTATTTATTAATCGTGATTGGTTACGTTTCAGAAAAGTCAGCCCTTCAGGGTCTTATCAAAACTAGTCGTGCCCTAGGTAGCCCTGGTCGCGTCACCTCCCGGGGGAGAGAAGAAACTCCAAAATGGATGTCATCATTCGTTGGGCCTATGTAATAGCAAGGAATACCCGTACAACGACTTAATGTGATATGGAATTACCAAAAACAGTTTTGAACTCTATTTTCATATATTTGGATATCTGTGATGTGGACATTATTTTGCAAACGAAAGTCGTGTATCAATACCCACTTTGTATTGAATCCCTCTATTACATGCCTATTATATAAAGGGAAT